TGAGCTGTAATTATTTGTACAGTCTCGAGAGGGGAAGCTACGGTATAAAAATCAATTTTGTTATGACTTCAGGTTTTTTAATGATGGATCAGCACCAAACTAGAGCTTTTCCTTAAATGCACTATTAACTGAGGATTTCCTTTAAAAAAAAAAAAAAAAAAAAAAGAAAAGAAAAGCAGAGGGGAAAAAATGAGAGTAATGATAATGGATTATGCATGGGTTTAGAACATCGGTCAGAGGATTTGCACACATGTTAAAGCGGGCTGTGCCCTTTCTTGAGCTGAGTCCTGCTGTGAGCACATTATTCTTGAACATCAGTTTTAACTGGGGCAGGCTGCTGAAACTTTTGATGTGGCTATAAAAATTTCCATTTGTTTAGCCAGAATTTTGTGGGTTTGTATTAACTGGCTGCCTGTCAGCTACTACCAATTGCCGGAAGGGTCTGCCATGGGAAAACTGCTTTCTGCTTGCTCCTTTCTTTAATTCCTGCCAAGGCATCTCCTGTTGGGCGCTGTTGGAGAGGGTATTCTGGACCTTTGGACTGTCAGAACTTTGTTCTTGGTTTTTTGAAATACATTGTTACTTAGGGGATCACAGAACCAAGAACGCTGTTAAAAAACTACATGGTTGCTTATTACTGTGAACAACAGCTGAATGAATATCAGTTTATTTGCAGCTGGTTATCATCTAGGTACATCAAAATCACTTTGCTGTTTCTTCTTCTAGCTCCTTGTTGTTAGGACTCATGGCACTGTAGTTTTCTTGGAAAAAGTTATGCGTTTTTTCCATAATGTACATGATATAATAGTGATCCTCTGTAGTAACTGACTAATCATGTGATCATAAGGATGCATAATTGGTTTTAAATGTGACTTTTATACTTCATCTCCTTGAGCATAGATTCTCATACACATTTAGTACCTCTAGTACATGTGAAGTTTAGGTCTATTTAATAAAGGTTAATATTTTAAATGAAGAAAACTAATCTTCCTTATAATTTTTAATACATTTCTGTAATTCACTGGCTTTTAACAGGCAGACTTCAGGTTTATTTTGTTTGGTACTTCAGTTCTTTCAAAATTCATGTGTTACATAATTCTATTGCAAGATTGATTTCTTTCTATTTCCTTGTGGTGTAATCCTGTGGTTTTTAAGGATTACAGTCCTGTCTTTCTTATTACCTGTGTCCTGTCAGGCCCTTGGTAAGGGAGGGTAGAGCAAAACTCTGTGATTCAAGACTTCCTGTAAGGGCATTCCCAGAAACTACCAACTTTGGCACGTAGCCTTAGTCACTTCTGAAAATAATAAATGAATCATTCTATAATTCTAATTCTGTCATCGTATTGGGACCAAAGCCTCAGCGATACATTTGCCTATTTACATGTAAAGGAGAATGCAGAAAGCAAAAGATTTTAGTATAAGTTAGAGTAATGGATTAGGAAAAAAGATATTCAAGATGAATGATAAACTAGAGCACTGTGACTTTTTTGAGTCACGTTTGGTTTAGTCTTCCTCGCCCTTAGGCTGGGTCAGTTAGAAATACAGATGAGGTCAGTAGGAGAAGTTTAATGAAGAGGATATTATGAGTAAGATGCTTCCTGGACTCGGGTTTCAGGCGTATGACAGTTAGAAATTACCTTTGGAGACCTTCTGGAGCTGGAGGTGAAAGGGGGCTAAAGCTAGTTCAGCAGTCACTGTCCCCGTGGGAGGTATAGAAGAAAGAAGGTTGGTTAGTGAGCTATGAGACTTACCTCTCCCTGGCCCATGAGCCAGGTGTCACATATAGCACAGAACAGTAGTGGTGAGATGGGGGGTTATGTTAGCAGGAGATTAGTTTGAGCTTCAGTGGTTTGAAAGTGGTGATGCTCAGCCATAAAAAAAAAAATGGAGATGCTCATTTTCCTACAGCTATAAAAGCTTTAGTGTGGCTGGATTATTTTGGGGGTTTAATATGCATGACAGTATCATCTATACAGAAAGTTTCTATCACTGTTAATGATTCTAGCTTTAGGTATGGGACTATTCTGATGCACTTATATTTATTCTTTTAATATAATTCTAGGTATAAGCATACATGGCTCCTGGTGTCTCAAATGAGAAGAAAACTGATGATGAACAGTCTTCAAAGTAAGAATCAGAAATGAATTATCTTGTTGAAGTTTACACTTAATGTTCCTACCCAAACTCATTAAACACTCATTTAGATTAAGTTTATGATACAAATATTGATTATATCTAGTATCTAGTAGAAGCTGTTTTGACAAATGGAGTCTTTATCTGCTTTAACCAAACCTACACTGAGGGCTTTGCTGGCTAGCCATTTTCATTTATCACAACTATGAATTTTTCCTAGCATAGGGGATGTTTTTATTTATTTATTTTTTTAAATCCAGTGAGCTGTTGAAATGTTGACTTTGGTTGCTGCATATAGCCAGACCTACCTGCTTTAAGAGTTTGAACAAATATTTCAATCTGTTTCTCTAATCCTTACTTTAAGCTTATTTTAGTAAAACCATACATGCAGATATTCATGTTTTGTTTAAACCCCCACAGGTTATAGGTGCTTTACAACAGTGTGAAGGGAATAAATTGTCTGCTCCTTAGAGTTACAGGCCAAAGATATTTATCAGGCAAACTTTGCCTTTGCTGTAAATCCATGGCATTGGTCCTATGTACACAGAGTAATATGCTTACTTTTATTGCCCATTTTACCCCAGGGTCCAAGTCTGCAATTAGATCTGGATGGGCAGATAACCAGTACGAGTTAGTAACAGCCCCTAGCTGCAGGGAGATGGTGGCTTGAAGAGTGTTGCTGGTAGGGTATGAGATGAAAAAGGTGAAATATAGACACTGCTGAGGAAGGAAAGTGTATTTAGGCCGGGCATGAGGACTATGGTGTTGGCACATAACACATTAATTTCCCTGTACTTTGAATACAGGCCTCGCCTTTTCCCAGTTTATTTCCTGGAGAGATGCTTTTATTGTTGGTATTCTCATAAAGAAGGGCATGTTTTCTGCTTACCTGACAACAAATTGTAAAGTGATTTCAAATCATATCTTATCTGTATGTAGAAGCCGTTCCAATAAACATCAGCACAGCCAGCTATTTGAACTGCATTAGTGAGTGATCTGTTAAATGTGGGTAGAGAGTCCCACAAAACCAAACAGGAATAATTCAGAGTAGGCAGCCTGGGAATTCTGCTCACATGAGATGGCAAACTCCTGGGCTGTCTGTGCCTTTCTGAAGAGTCATAAACATGCTCTTTATTTCTCCCAGAGTTAAACAGGTCTTTTGAAGGGAAGAAGAAAGGCAACCAAAGCGTTCAGTTCCACCTTAGGCAGGATTTGTATGAAGAGAGGCAAATGGGGCACATGGGAGATGGAAAGGAATTACTACTGAAGGAGCTAATGAACCACCCGCTTTGTTGGGCTGCTTTTCCAGTTGCTGAAGGTGGTAGTCTGTGGCAGGGACAAAGAGGGTGGATTGGGATGATACCTCTTTCTTTGGCTGTGCAGCTGCTGCTGGATAGCTAGTGACATTAGAGAGAGAATTTCAAGAGCAGAAACAATTTATGTATTCAGAATGTTGGGGTTCTAACTATTTTATTTGCTTTCTGTGGAACAGTTCACTAACGTCAGTATGGGCATCTAGGCCACTTTAGGCTTCTTAAGGTAACCAGTATATCCTGCACAGGGTTGGCAGATAAGACATAGGACCTACAGAAAAGCACTGCCTCTCTGGAGAGAGATTAGAAAACAGACAATATAACCTAAAACATCTAAAATAGTGCTAAATGCCTATGTTTAGGCTTCAGAATTGTTCCTGCAAAGTCTTAACAATTTTTTGCATAAACTCCAGGCAAACTTTTGTTTGTCTCCTCTGACAAAGCAGTTTGAATTTGCTGAGCCATGCTATGATTGCAGTGAGCCTTCATTAAGCTATTAAGTTACCTTCTTGTGTCTGGAAGATATTTATTGCTTAACTTCATCTCTTGGAAACTACTTTGAAGTATTGGCCAGTATTTTGCTTAAGCTTGTGATTACTGACTAGTGTTTCCTACCTGTTTCTACTGAGCTTAAAACATCAAGCAAACATCAAGCACAGTTTTATGAATCATTCAGCTTGCTTAGTTAGTCCACTACCGAATTTTCCATGAAGGCAATCCCATGTGCTGAGTAGTTCAGTTTTGTGGTTCTTCAGAATTTCTTCTTTTTTTTTTTTTTTTTTCCTAATTTTTAAGATGTGTCACTTTCTTACAGGAAGCTACTTAAGAGGAAGTGAATTCTTTTTACCTTTTCTTCTCTTCCCCTTTTTCTTGCCCTTTTTTTTTAAAAAAATCTCTTCCATTGTTTTGTCTTTGCTTTAGATTTCCATTTCTCTCTTTCCTCTCCTATGTCAAATCCTTTGTACTCTTGTTAACAGTCTCATGCCAGAAAGTTTTTTTTCTTCCTGGCCGGATGACACAGAGTTACAGCAAGCCAAATTGCCAGAAATCTCCTTTGGGCCTGCCCATAAAGCCCAAACTTTCCCACCCCTCTCAGGTGGTTAGGAGGGTCAGTCAAAACACAGAGGTCAAGTTTGCTTTTCAGCTTTGCTATAGATTGTCTATGCAGTAAGGTCTATTGAATATTCCCTTGTCCTGCTCCCATTGTTCTGCTCACCATAAAGACCTACCCTGGTTCACAGCTTTAATGTTGTTTAAGATAAAGGTTGCACTGTTGCTAATGCATCTTACCGTCTGGGCTTTTCTTCAGCAATTTCATCCTGTGCAATGAATGGAATGTTCAATGTCATGTGTGATTTGTTGTGAGACATAAGATGATCATGTAATTTAGGATTTCCTTAATGTAATGCGTGAGGAACCAAAATAAGGTAGTGCAGGCACACTCAGGTGTGCCATTTCCTAACATCTACTGCTTGACTTTGCAAAATTAGTATCTGTGCAATGTAGGCTTTTGTATATGCTCTATGTGTTTCACAATGTTGCTGTCCTGACAGAGATAATTTTATCCATCTCTGCAACCCTCACCTGGAGAAAATGAAAGAAGACATCCTGTACCATTTTGCTCTTGGGACTGGTACCCATGATTTTCCGGCATTGTTTGGAGATGTAAAGGTAAGAAGCTTCATTTCATTCAGCAAGTCTAAGGTTTTCTGCAGAAGGTAGAAGTGTAGCTGTCTTCAAAATAAGACTAAGCGTGTCAGCATACCACCAATTGAGGAATGAATAGAAAAGAGGTAAGATTTTGTGGGTTCTTGTCAAAATTGGGGATAATTGTTTCTGACTGCCTCTTTTCATCCAGTAAAAAGGGAAATGCTTTAGTCTCTATTCAGGTACAGCTCCCTGTTGGCACCTCTTTGAGTCAATATCTGTATTTTACTAGTTTAAACAGGGAGAAGGCATTTGAGTGCTATGTAGAAGGGTGTTCTTGCATAATTTTTCTTCATGGCCTTTTAGAGTGGTTATGAGAAGAATCACATCTGGGAGTAGCTTTGTGTTAACTGAAGGTGTTTGCATCCTCATGTTGATCTTTGCTTGTTCTTTGATATACTGAATCATGCAATTGATTTTGTTTTGCTGAATACTGTCCACCCCAGTTTGTATGTGTTGGAGGAAGTCCTTCACGGATGAAAGCTTTTATCGCCTACATAGCTGAAGAACTGGGGCTTGGGAGCCCTGGTTGTGACTATCCTAACATCTGTGCGGGAACTGACCGCTACGCAATGTACAAAGTGGGACCTGTTTTGTCCGTCAGTGTAAGTACCTCACCTAATCAGATATGGGATGCAGTTCAATGATGCTGTTCAAAGCAGAAAATATGAATGCACATTTCTTTTAAATACTTAATAGATGGAGTCAGGTTTTTTAAGTTTCTATATCAGCCATGATCAAAATAATGCAGTCAGCTAATGAAGAATTCCTTTGTAGTCTTTTCTTGTAAGAGGGCAAATCTCTGAGACCGTCATTCCTTTCTTGCCTCCTTTTTCCTGAGGCATTGCAGGAATAGCCTTATAAATTTTTTGAGCAGAGTTACTGTTCCCTCATCCCTGTTCTATATCCTGAATAATGGGGGGAAAAAGGTCACTGGATGCATGTGGGGTATTGGAAAAAATGGCTGTATCACATCCAGAGCTAAGTATCTGCAGTAGCATTGTCAAATGTGCTAACATAGCTTAAGAGTAGCATTCCATGGCACGTGTGCTGCCAGCTTATGTATGCATTATAAAACTTCATACCTTTAATTTGTAGATACGATTACATACTTCAATTGCAACTGCATAACTGTAATAGCATTCTGCACCCTTTCTTTTGAGTTGTAATTATCGCATTATCATGCAATTTAAGGTGGACTTATATTTGGTGAATTTTATGACTAAGCCACAGTGTCTGTGATTTGAAAAAATTTAGCTTAACCATTCACTAGCACTTCAGGTTGGTAAAAAATTGGAATGGGGTTTTTCTTGTCTTTAAGAAAAGTTCTGTGATGAAGTGCATTTGTCAACTATTAGGAAAGTGCACTGATTATACTTTTGAAAATGTAAATATTTTATAATTCATTTAGAAATATTGCACTTCATCCATAGTCTACCAAAGCCAGTGGGTGACTTTCTGTTTACTTGCAGTAGCCTTTCAATAGGCCCATTGGTTAGGATTTTTGTGGGAGTGAGCTAGATGACATTTGGAAAAAAAAATATCAGGAAGGAGATATTGACCAGCTCCTTCTTCCATATATATTTTGCATTGTCTATGTGATTGTCGAATATGAATTTTTGCTTTCATTTCAGCACGGTATGGGCATTCCTTCTATTTCAATCATGTTGCACGAGTTGATCAAACTGTTGTATCATGCCAAGTGTTCCAACATAACCATTATTCGCATTGGCACCTCTGGTGGAATAGGTATTTCCCCTCTTCATTTCTTTTTTTCTTCCAACCAAAGCATCTTTGTAGGAGAGTAAAGCATCTCTCTGCAAGTGAGTGATTGATGGTCAGAACAGTTTGCCACAGGAGATGAATCATTTTGCTTCCATAATTTTGAAATAAAAGGCAATATCTGCCTTTGGATAGAGAAAATGCACTTAAGGGATCTGACAACATGAGGAGAAGGACGTTCCTGTCCTGTATGAAAAGTATGAGATAAGAAAGAATATATAGTGAAAAAGGAAAATTTTCTTTCTTTCCAAAATTATTTGTAATAATAAACTGAAGCAGCTAGGCATGCACAAAAAAATTTCTTAGGGTGCATTCAGGGGCAAAATTGCCACCATTAAAAGAAGCAGGATTGGGTCCAGAGGTATGGTTTTTTTGTCTGTGTAAACAAAGCATTAACTACATTGTGAAGCTATATGTGTTTCTTTTTACTGCAGGTCTGGAGCCAGGCTCAGTGGTTATAACTAGGCAGTCTGTAGATGCCACCTTCAAACCTCAGTTTGAACAGGTTGTTCTGGGAAAGACTGTAATTCGCAGTACAAACCTAGATGAACAGCTAGCTCAGGAACTGATGCAGTGCAGTAAAGAAATTGGTCAATTCAATACAGTCATTGGAAACACTATGTGCACTTTGGATTTCTATGAAGGTAAGGCTGCTGGCAGACTAACAGAAGTATATTGGTAAGCAGCAACAGATAAATATTGAGTAATATTTTAACATAAAGGTTCCAGTTCACTGAACAGAACGCATTCCCTAATTTGAGTTGTCTTGTCAACTGTAATTAGCCTATTTTTCATGTACGTAAAATCAATCATTGTGCTTACCAGTTTGCTGTATTGAACTTCTAATTTTGTGGAGGTTTATTTCCCCCCAGCTCTGATAGACCCTCTGAAATACATATAGTCTACTATACACTCTTCACATACTCATCAGTTAGATATGTTTGTCACAAAATTTCTGTGACTTATTGAGGCATCCTAGAGGATTAAAGGAGTGAGAATTATTTGTGGCTGTTTTGAGGGGTTTTTTTTTGCACTGGTTAAGTATTTAAAGTAAATATTTTCTAAAAGAAGTGTTGGAACTTGTTTCCCATGTACATTTTGAGCAAAGCAGTCATCAGACAACTGAAGACAATATTATGCTGAGCTGTGTCAATACTGCTATATAGGAGGGGCAAACCTCCAAGGCTTACTTTGGATAAACATATAGACATTCAGGTGCTTTTCTGATCTCCCAAGTCTATTCACAAACATCTTTCAAATCTTGCAAGAGCAGAGTGTAGATGGCACCTGATACTACTTTCTCTAGCTGTCACTGACTAGGTGAGAAAGAGTGCAATGCAGAGGGGAACATAAGGTCTTCATAATAGCGCTCAAGCTTGGTCAGAAGCAGACACTGTCAGTTTTCATATCTCCTCAGACACCAGTCGCAGGTGCGCTACACTAAAAATGTGTCAGGAATGTTTTCAACTCATACAGCAAAAGCTGAGAACAGGCTCAAAGGCATTGATTTAGGAGTATGTCTCTTGAAAACAAAAAGATACTGAGTAAAACACTGTGTAATTTAACTTTACTGTACATAACCTGCAGCTGTGTTATCTGTAGGTGTTATTCTTGAATAATTTGAATAAACTAATTTTCTCAAATAATTATAATAGTATTTGCTAGTTAGCTTAAGAGACTCTTCATCTTTTACCATAGAGAATATGTAAGTAATAAAATGTTCATCTTTTTAAGGTAGCATCAGGAAAGCTTTTTCAAGCCTGGCAGTTTTTCTAGACAGTGATTATACAGAAAAAATGCAGCACTTCCATACAGCTTGAAGTACGTTGCTGAATTTTGACACATGCCGCACATGCAGGAAACTACTACTTACGTTTTCCCATTTATGAATTTGAGAATTTTATCTGGAGAAGACCAGTTAAATTACTGGGATTCACATTATAAAAAATATAAGTAATATGCAGAAGCTGTAGTAACAGCTAAGAATCACTTCAATCTATTTGCCTTGCACATGAAAATAAAGAGGAAGCTGGACACTGTATAGGGGAAACTGCAATGATTGGGTGGTTTAGAAACTGAATTTGTTTTGTCACTTCATTGCTCTGAAAATTGCTACAAAATTACTTTGTAGGACAGGGCAGGTTGGATGGTGCAATCTGCTCATATAATGAAGAAGAGAAACTGAAATATTTGAAAGAAGCTTATGACTCTGGTGTTAGAAACATAGAGATGGAGTCTTCTGTGTTTGCTGCAATGTGTAATCTCAGTGGTGTCAAAGGTAAGCTAACTTAAAGTCACTTTATTCAAGCTATAGGAAGTTTTCTGCATTGCAGGGAGTTTGTCGTAGAAACTGCAAACGAGGTGTTAACATACCTTCTGCATATTAAAAAACCCCAGATCTGGCTATAGTTTTGTTGCTATGATTGTTTGATATTTGTCATGTATTCACAACTTTTAGGGAAACTTCCTCACATAGTTCTTACACAGTTTAGTTCTGCCATTTGCTATTCCAGCCCTTGGCAAACACACAAATCGTTAAGGTACCTAATTACCCTATAGCATTAATTTGTTTTCTGCAGTTAGTTTTTGAAGTTTACAGGAAGCAACTGGTTAATTTAAGCAATCAGATGATTCTCATATGCATAAAACTATAATCACTTTCTATACTTTCTATATATATCACATTGAAAATACAAGTATTTTATGTAGACTTATGGCTTTAATTCTTAAACAGTTGAAGATTTTTAGTAGCATCATGAATAAACTGTACCTAATCATAAAATGAGTTTTAAATTTTTTTACACAAGCTAATTTTCAGTAAAATTTAAAAAAAATCAGTAAAATGAGGGGAAAATTTCAGTAAAATGGGGGGGAAGCAATTACAACTAATGCAATACAGTGCCTTTCTACTTACCATGTTAACCATAGTCTCTTACTTTCCTTGGCAAGGAATTTGCCAATTTAAAACACTGATGTTTCTCAAACTTCCTTAGAGGATGAAATGAAGAAAAATAAGCAGAAAGGCCAACAGTTATATGAAACATCCTTAGCTCTTACTGACTTGAGAGTGATTAAAAACCCAAGCCATGCTACCACTGAGCCATTAGGGAGCCTACTTTGTTAGTCTGTAATGTGTATTACTGCTTGTGCTCTGCAAATTGTCACTAGCAGAAACCCCAGATACAGAAGAGTGGTGGTGGAGCTCAGCTTGAGTGAAAGGAGGGATTTTACCTTTGGGGCTCTGATTACCAAAAGGCAGCAGATGAGCCTGAGATGATCCATGAGATCCTTATGTATGTGCAGTGCTCCCCATCCATGAACGTCGAAGTAGCTCACCTGCTGGTTCCCAAGAGAGGACATCTACAGCACGAGGATTTGGGTTGAGGATATGGTAGATAGCGGAGGACTGTAACTACAACTGCTAGAACAGTGTCTCTGATCACTTCCTACCAGTCAGGTCCTGGGTACTTGTGAAATATAATTCCTATCCAGAAAAACATAAGAATCATCATATATCAATAAGTACCTGCAGCTGCCTCAGAGCACTTGCTTTATTAATGTAGCGATCAATTGTCTTAAACTATTTGTAACTTTTTTAATATCATCCACAGCATGCTAGTCCCCTAGCATCTTATGGTACTGTGCACCATTATTTTGGGTTTGTTTTCTCTCACATTTCTAATCTTCTAGCTCTTTGTTCAAATGCTTATGATTTTGCACTGTAGAAGTGCCAGAATGTCATTCCTAACTAAATCTGTCTTTTAATTTCTAGCTGCTGTAGTGTGTGTCACTCTTCTGAACCGCCTCGAAGGGGATCAGATTAGTAGCTCACATGATGTACTTGTGGAATATCAGCAGAGACCGCAGAAGTTAGTGGGATATTTCATTAAGAAAAGTCTTGGGAAAGTATGAAATATCCATCTTTGTTTTATAGAAGCAGAAGGCTTTTGCATAGCTGAAGTCATGGTCACGACTTCTGTGCGTTAAAGGTCTTTTGCCTCAGAATACCTTACAGCATTCCATGCGTCTGTGGAAGTTAATCATTTATGTCACTGTGCTTTGGGAACTGAATGTGCTGAATGGACTTCAGTTAAGTTTTGCTTAGTTATGCGTTGCTGGATATAAGACTCACTTTTCTGTGAATTGGAAAATGGATCTCTTGTGAAGGACAAGCCTGCTATAATATATGAAAAAGCTTTATTTATCCCTGCTGTAAAAGAAAAACTAGGAAGAAAATCAAAATTTATTGCCAAGTACTTGCAGACCACCAAATTAAAATTAAGAATGCTAATCCCTTTCTTGTGGTTATAAAAAATGATATAAATTACAATTGTCTTTGTTGCTTCACTTGTAAAGAAAACTTTAAAGTTAATGCAGTTTATATTTTGCAAACTTAGATAAATAAACAATACTATTTTCATATATTAAAATTTCGTGAAATTGCAAAGTGTGGGACTGAATTTTCTAAGCATTATGGACTTGACACTGAGCTGTTGAATATCTGTAGTTCCTAGATATTGATCCAGCAAGGTCATTCATATCCCATTTTAACTGTATGATTGAATCAATACCCAGGAAACACTTATGCATTAAGTAATTTTGCATTGAAGAACTTGAAATCTTTTGCTGAATCAAGGCTCCTGCTTACTGAAAAGGAACCAGAAACATTCAGGAGATGCACAGCATGTTCACAGGACTGCGCTTTTTTCTTTGTTTATTTTTAAATTGGTTTTCATATCCATCTCTTCAGGAAGTAACACTCACTGTTGCAATGGTTCCCATTTCTTCTGAAAAACTGGAGAACACCTCTTGACTGTACATCCCATCAGAACCATTTCTGCAATTTTCTCCACTACCATTGGCCTAATGTTTGGGGTTTTTTTAAATCATACTCATTGCTGCTTTGCTGCTGTGGTTAGAATATAAATATGTAGTCAGCTAAAGAAAAGTGCGTTTATCTCCTTTTTTTTTTTTTTTCCTACTGCAGTGGAGGGTCCAGTCCTAACAGGAGTCACAGATCAAAAGGATCTGAATAAACTCTCAGAACAGCTGTCATTGATCCAGCTAAATTACATTTTCTTTTTGAGGATTGTAGTCTGCAACACTGTCAACAAACATAAGAGTTAGATCTAAGAGGGGGTGATGCAGTAGTGGGCACATTCACCAAGAAGTGGCAGAAAGTGGAAGCAATGTGATGAAAACATTAAAAGAGGAACAGGAAACTGCCAATGAGGATTAGTCTTAAATTTGATGGATTTTCAACTGGAGAACAGATAGAAAGATACAAATATTAGAGTTTTTAAATGTACTAATTTTGTCTTAATTTAAAAACCACATTTTCTCATTAATGCTCAGGATATACAATGGATATCAGTTTTCAGAGGAAAGCCTTTTTTCCCCTCAGCTTAAGGGATCAGGTGGGAATGGCTCCATGTTTTGTTTGAACTGTTCCTCCCTTATTTAAAAAAACAAAAAAACCCCAAACAAACAAAAAAAGTACCTGTGCTTAACTATGCCTAGTGCTTGCCTGGGCATTGTGGAAAGCGCTGTGAGGTCCCTTGGGAAACAGGCAACAAAGCACATCCTTGCTCAGCAATCTCCTGTTCCCAGAAGAGTAGCAAGGAGATAAAAATGCGATCACTTAAGAAGCAACATGCTGCACCCTAGGCTGAAGAAAAGCTTATACCAAATTGACTGGTATGGGTTTAGAGGAGAGAGTTTGCTGTTGTAAAAGAAATACTTACTATGAATTACCTAAATAGGAGAAAACATACTTTATCAAGAAAACAAAGAAACACCTAAAACATCAAACAAGAAAACAAAGAAACACTTAATGTAGCTCTGTGAAGCTTTGGGGAAGCATATTACTGTAGTTATCCTGGAGATATGAATCTCAAATGATCACAGAATCATAGAATGGCTTGGGTTGGAAGGGACCTTAAAGATCTTCTAGTTCCACCCCCCTGCTACAGGCAGGGACACCCTCCACTAGACCACGTTGCCCAGAGCCCCATCGAACCTGGCCTTGAACACTTCAAGGGATGGGGCCTACGCAACCTCTCTGGGCAACCTGTTCCAGTGCCTCACCACTCTCACAGTAAAGAATTGCTTTCTAACATCTAATCTAAATTGACCCTCCTTCAGCTTAAACCCATTACCCCCTGTCTTGTCACTACACTTCCTCATAAACAGTCCCTCACCATCTTTCCTGTAGGCCCCTTCAGGTACTGGTAAGTCGCAATTAGGTCTCCCCGGAGCCGCCTTTTCTCCAGGCTGAAGAACCCCAACTCTCTCGGCCTGTCCTCATAGGAGAGGTGCTCCATCCCTCTGATCAGCTTCGTGGCCCTCCTCTGGACTCGCTCCAACAGCTCAATGTCTTGCCTGTACTGGGGCCCCAGTACAGAAAGGACATATTGGCAGAAAATGAATGGCTAAGTCTTCCAGAGGTTTCTGCTAGGGTCTTCTGTATTGATTTAGTAGAATAGTTGCATCACTCCATGAATGCTTGCACCTTAGCTCCAACTCAGCCAGGCCATGGTGCTAGTTATATTTTGGCATGTAGCACATAAGAGTTTTCATATTAGTTACCAAAATAGAAGTGCCTGCTTTATATGACTATAAATACAAAAGCTTTGTAGTTTCAGCTGGGAGCTGTCACCATTAAATGATTTAAGAACTTTTTCTTGTTACCCAGTTTCCAGACTCTTGCTGTCCTTCCTTTAAAAAGACCAATCACATCATTCCCTGTAGGGAACTACAGGCCGGTCAGTCTCACCTCCGTGCCTGGCAAGATTATGGAGCAGACCCTCCTGGAGACTATGCTCAGGCACATGGAAAATAAGGAGGTGACTGGTGACAGCCAACACAGCTTCACTAAGAGCAAATCATGCCTGACAGATCTGGTGGCCTTCTATGATTGGGTTACAGCGTTGGTGGACAAGGGAAGGGCAACAGACATCATCTGCCTGGACTTGTGCAAGGCATTTGACACTGTCCCACATGACATCCTTGTCTCTAAATTGGAGAGACATGGATTCGATGAATGGACCAGTTGGTGGATAAGGAATTGGCTGGATGGTCACAGTCAGAGAGTTGTGGTCAATGGCTCAATGTCCAAGTGGAGAACAGTGACAAGTGGTGTTCCTCAGGGGTCGGTACTGGGACAGGCACTGTTTAATATCTTTGTTGGCGACACGGACAGTGGGACTGAGTGCACCCTCAGCAAGTTTGCCGACGACACCAAGCTGTGTGGTGTGGTCGACACGCTGGAGGGAAGGGATACCATCCAGAGGGACCTTGACAGGCTGGAGAGGTGGGCCTGTGTGAACCGTATGAAGTTCAGCGAGGCCAAGTGCAAGGTCCTGCATGTGGGTCGGCACAATCCCAAGCATGACTATAGGCTGGGCGAGGAATGGCTTGACAGCAGCCCCGAGGAGAAGGACTTGGGGGTATTGAT